AAAGGGGCAAAAGGCTGAACAGACACTTCCTCAAAGAAGATGTGCAAATGAGACACATGATGGGAGACTCAATGTCATTTGTCATAATTCATTAGGAAAATGCCAATCAAAACCACTTCACACCCACAGGATGTCTGCAATCAAAATAAATGAACGATAACAAGTTTCAGTGAGGATGTGGGGAAACTGGAACCCTTGTACATTGCTAACTGGAATATAAAATGGTTCAAATGATCTGGCAGTTCTCTGGAAAGTTACACACAGAATTACTCTATGGCCGGTCAATTCTACTCCCGGGCACATACCCAAAGGAAATGAAAAAAGGGACTCAAAAAAGTACATGTATACACACATTCACAGCAGCACGATTCACAACAGCCAAACGGTGAACACATCCCAAATGTCCATCAGCTAATGAATGGGTAAACAAATAGCTTACAAACCATAAACTACATACATACAACCAGGAGGTCACGGTTCGATTCCTGGTCAGGGCACATGTCCAGGTTGAGGGCTTGATCCCCAGTGTGGTGCATGCAGGAGGCAGCTGACCCTTGTTCTCTGTCATCATTGATGTTTCTCTCTCCCTCTCCCTTCCTCTCTGACATCAATGAAAATCTATTTTAAAAAATATTTCCGGACTGTCACCGAAGATACCACACGACAGCTCCCTCCAAGCATGTAAATGCCCAGGACACTCCATCAGTCGGCAAACGAATCTAAATCAAATTCCATCTGATTGAAAATAATCACCATGTGCTGCCCAGCGCTGGAGCCCGAAGTTCCCGAGAATACTCGTGGTAATTGCACGTTGCTATTTACGTGCCCGAGTCGGCGGCGTGTGCTGGGAGCCATCTGAGCGCAGGCCCCAGGCAGAGCCCGGGAACATCACTCCCCACGTGCGTCCACGCTGCCCGCCCCTCCTCCCCGCCTCCCCGTGGGGCAGGCGCTCCGGTGTCAGGTGCACCGCCGGCCACAGGATGGAAATGGATGATTGCAGGTATTTTATTTTCAACTAAAGTGCCGCCACAAGAGATTTTTCCAGCTCAGTGGACTGTAAGTTAAACCATCAAGGGCTAAATATGCTTTTGCACAGCCCTACAAGACTCTGCTTGTAAACAGGCACAAAATACTAATGGCGACAATAACGGAAAGTTATTTTCATGATGGGGGTGCGCCTGGTAGCCACCAATTCTCCAACGCAGTCAGGGTGTTGAGTGGGGAATGAGGAAGACCAGCTCTGAGATGAACTTGTCCCAAGACCCCCGTTAGGCGAGCATCCATCAGCCCCCACTCTGCCCTGCGTTCTACCATCATGGGTTTTCACCATCACCATCATCAGAAATAATTAGAAAGCAGGACACCTGGGTTCTAACTCCAGCTCTGCAGCTAATGGTCTAAAGAGCTGAAAAACCTGCAATCTCTCTGAGCTACAATGGGCTGATGGAAAAACGAGGGGGTTGGCAGTAAGTGCTTACAAATGATCCTAACTTATAAAGGCAAACACAGAAAAATACCACGGGATAAGAAAGGAATGCTTTTCACCTGAGGGGAACCAGGAAAATGAAAAACCTTATAAAGTGAGATGGAAATGAGGATTAGAAAAGAACTAACAGATTTCAGCCCTGTAAAGACGAGGCCTACAAAAACGCAAAGGAAAATGCTGCCATACTCCACATGCCTGTTGGCCAGTAGCTCTACTTTTGAACACAAGCCCCCAGAGAAAATATCCCTCAAGAAAAATCAAAGTCCGCCACCAAAAAGGCTGCGCAGCAGCGTGACATGCAGGAGAGGCGCCCTGCACGCAGCCTGTCAGGACGCACGGGCGCCGCGGAGCGAGACCCGGCTGTGCTGACAACATGGAACAAAGGCCTCCCCGGCCCATGTTTAAATGCTCAGCGGCCTTCCGAGGGTGGAAATACCCAACAGGATAGAACAGGAAGCGTAAAGGTTCGTTGCCAGATGCACTTGCCCTCCTCGGGATTTTACAAAAAAACAGACTGATGCAAACCGGCAGAGCACCTGGATCATGGGTCCATCCTTTCTACAATAGTCATTCCAGCGGCAAAACATAAAAGGGGGTGGGGGAGGGGAGAAGGGGGTGCTTTCCAAGCTGGAGTCCAGCCTTTACATCTCTTCTATGCACCTTTTCTAACACAACTAATCCCCCTTATGTCTCCATCTCATGCGGAATGGTTTTCAGGCACCTTCACAGAGATTGTTACCGAACTGTCTGTAAGACAGTCCGCATCCGTGCACCTATAGACCAAAACACCTCCGTGCAAGGCCCAGTGCGCCGGGGATGTGCCCTATGAAAGCACGTCATACGTATCGCTGGACCACTCTCCTCCACGCCCCGACCGTCACCAATGGGAAACTAAAGGGAACGTCAACAGTTATAGGTTATAACTTCAACGTAACCCTTGACTCTCAAGTCAACCTTAATACGGTAGGACTTGCCATGAGGCAAAGGCCTTGGGGACTGTTGCATATTTCTTAGGTACAATGGCCTCATCCTCAAACACTGCAAGTCCCCAAACCATGGCAAAGTGCTCCCTCTGGCTGGCCCAGCAGAAGACCCCTGGCAGCTTTAGGGTGTGAGGTAAATGGACTGCTGCTGGCCACAGAATTCATGCACATAATCACGGCATGGCATTTGGGTCCAGTGTGTAGATGCACCTTCGGATGACCATCCCACTGAAAAACAACCCTAAGACACAAAAGGCAAAAATCTAGAATTCTTCTAAGTAAGGATTCTCCAAAAAAATCTTAGCCTGTGACAACACTCTTGTAAAAAGGAATGTCATGTATCACAAAAGTCTATTTTCTTCCTCCCAAAAAGAATTTTTTTCTATGAATCAACATTTTGAAGTTTCTGTTTTAAGCTCTAAGATGCTGGTATCCTTTAACATATTCCATGAATGAAACAGAAAATTAATGTGTCATGAGAGGAACAGTTTTTTTAAAAAAGCTAAAAAATAAAAATGGTAAGAACTGGGTCCCAGGATTTAAAGAAATTCTCCCAGAGACGACCACACACACTTCTCTTGATGACAGCTACAGCAGAGCGTCAAAAGCATTTCCAATCTTCCGCATTCGGAACTCAGGGAACCTTCCAAGTGTACAGATTACACTAAAAAGACACTGGCAAGCGGCTATACCCATTCCTACTGTCACCAGCATTATCGGAGAATTAGAAAACAGGCTTTCGTTTTTGCACCTGTTTAACATGCCAATGCATTTCATCTTAAATCAATGGTTTCTACTGACAGACCATATGTTTATTTGCAACCAATAAATTCAAGCTCTTAGGAAAGAGATTAGGAGAAATTATTCATTTAAAAATGAATCTAAAAAATAAATTGCCAAAATGCAACATATTCCACTGACTTTTTTTTATCCATCACAATGATTCTATAAAATTGAATCTATTTTTTTTCAGCATTCAAATAACATTTACAGGTCACATGGGTCCTCAGATGCCTCGTAATAATTTTAGGGATTTAAAGGAAATGACGTATGTGCAGAAAAACTCCAAGACTCACATTTAGCTCGACCAAATCAACACGCTCTGATTAGAATTAAACCTCTATCTTGTTAACCATTACCCATCAGATGAGATAGCAATTCAATATTGAAACAGGCTGATCTAATATTTACTCATTAAAATACCATGTAATGAGGCAGGGATGAGATGTCTTTTTTAAAAAAAATCGACTTCAGAAAGATCACATAGGTACGAGCAAATCACAATTATAGAATACAAATGAAAATAAAATGACAAGCTGCAGCAAAGAAGGTGAGGAGCTAAGAGTCATTTACATTTCCAAGTTCTCTGTCTAGGTCAGTGGTTCTCAACCTTGCACATTAGAGTCACCTGGGAATCTTTTTAAAATCCTGATTTCTGGGCCTCATCCTCCGGAAATTCTGTTTCTTTGTTATGGGGTGGGGACACAACATTAGTAACAAAGAAACAGAATTTCCAGAGGATGAGGCCCAGAAATCAGGATTTTAAAAAGATTCCCAGGTGATTCTAATGTGCAGCCAAGGTTGAGAACCACTGGTAGCGTATTCTTAAGTCCTGTCCCACTAAGGTTCTTCAGGGCTGCAGACACTTCCATCAGGGCTGGGTGGTGGAGTCCCGTGTAAATTAATTAGTTGAGGTGGCACTGATCTTTCTAAAAGCAGCTCTCCAAAACACCCTCAGAGATAGGCACGATACGCAGGGAATTAGAATCTAAATACAACTTACTAATCAATTCTTCTTGCTTCCACATTTCAATGACATTCTGTGCAATGATAAATAAGTCCATGAAAATTCAACTAACCAATCTTTTATTTGATTTCAATTAGAGGTAAAAGTGAGGGGGGGGGCGAGTTTCAATTCTGCCTTTGACGCTCACGTTCTCTCTCAGGTTTTATCCACACTGGCACGAGTTTTCATAAGATAACTATACACGAACTTGATCCATATGTAAGCAGGAGAGGAGCCTATATTTGACATTCACATATGCAACAACCGAATTAGCTATGGCGTAATGTCTATAAACAATGTCATAACGAAAGTACGCGTTTCATGCTCCCGCCTCAGACTTTACCTGCTCAAGCTGTTCGTTATGCTAAATATTAAAGTCTGACATGTTTTTCCGAAGAGAATATCACCATAATTTCTGTAATATAAAACAGTAAGTGGGTTGTTGCTGTAAATAACTTTTAAAACCATTTAGAATCAGACGGTTGGTTAAGTATTCTCCAACATAAGTAAAGTATGTGCAGAAACAGTAAAGATTAGTCATGTCATGGCTTCCACCGTAATTTAAAAATGGAAAGTTTTCAAGGGATCGAGAGCCCGCCAACGCCGCATGAGGGACCCACACAGGAGGTCCCTGCACGCTCACGGGGCGACCGAGGAGTCCCCACTTGCTAGCAGGAGAGCCGATGCGCGCCTTTTGGGGGTCAAGGGCACAGGCACTGTACGGACAAGGAGGGGGAGACTGTACCATTGAGAAGAGGCTGTCCTTCATGCACGTCCTGGGACAAGACCGCGCTGTACACGTCCTCGGGAAAGCCGGTCTTGCACGTGGCGACCTCCCCGGCCCCTGCCGATGCCTGCAACACAGAAAAGAGTGTGTCCAGCGCTGCGCCTCCTCCACGGCCCGCGGCCCGCGCCTGGCTTCCCAGCGATCGCGCACCAACACCCCCTGGGCCCCGAGGGCGACCCCTGGGATGTGGAGGCAGCAGGGTGAGCTTTTTGACAGCCGGCTGGAAGAAACAAACCCCACTCCTCTCGCCCAGTAACACGTAAATAACACCCATCCCGATCCTCCTCCCCAGGACCTGCTCCTGTGGCTGAAGAACCAGCAGGGACCTGCGGGGGGGGGGGGGGGGGGGAGGGGGGCGCCCAGCAGCGTGCAGATCCCACTCCAGCATCGCACCTTCACTTTCAAGAAAAGTGCACACATCCCAGTGTGCCGCGCCAGCACAGCCAAGTTCGGTGAGCCTGAGAGGGCGGTGAAGGATGGAGAGAAGACAGACAGAGAAGAACGCTGGGGCTGGGTAGGACGCTGTTCTCTCTGATGGAGAGCTAAGGACAGCACCACGGCCTGTAAGCTGAGTCTTTATTTTATAGCAGATCCCACGAGGCAAAGTAAGGGCGTGGTTACAATGTTCTCGTGGGTTTCGAATCTACTCAATTACACGCACCTGATCCAGCTTTGTTTACCTGCTGCACCTCCCATAGGCCATATACTCAGCCACGTGGGCCCACAGGTTCGGACCATCAGGTCAAGCTCACAGCCATAGCCTTTGGCCATCATTGTGCTAGGACTTGCACGTGGGACTTGCACATGGCTTTGCCACGAGAGGATTATGCCCTCTCATTAGTCCGAGGCTTGAACCTGTCCAAACGCTGTAGCCGCTCTCCACATCCAAGCACACGGCCTTCTATATCCTCATCTCACTCTCTGGGGACGTCTGTGTCACTATTTACTCCGATAATTAAAAAACAAAACGGCAATATGTACATTCACTGCAGGATAGAGTGTATTTTATACCAAGTAAAAGCAACCTATCCCAATGTGTGCGTGTGTGTGTGTGTGTGTTTCAAGGGTAGGGATACAGCCGGCGTGGCTCAATGGTTGAGCACTGACCTATGAACCAGGAGGTCATGGTTCAATTCCAGGTCAGGGCACATGCCCAGGGTTGCAGGGTTGAACACTGAGTGCGTGCAGGAGGCAGCCGATCAATGATTCTCATCACTGATGCTTCTCTCTCTCCCCCCATCTCCCTTCCTCTCTGAAATAAAATATTTTTTAAAGTGTGTGTGTATATATATATATATACACACACACACACACACACACACACACACCCACACACCACTATGTTTCTTTTCTAGACTTCAATCTGGAACGTGAGCCCTGGCCACCTCCCTCTGTCACCTGCACAGGCAACTCCCTGGGGCTGAAAACTCCACCACACCGCGCCCTCCACCCAGCCTCCCGCTGTCCCGCTGCTCCCTCCAGCCCCGCACATCCTCACAGGACCCTGGTCCTCAGACAAAGCGCAGCATCTGCATGAGTTACGGAAGTCCCCCCACTGAGGAGGACCCAACACGGGGAGGGGGCGTGCAGGCAGGATGAGGAGGGAGGGCAGGGGCTGGAGGGCATCAGGTGCATGGGCACTGCTGAGAGGCAGAGACCAGGAGGGAGACAGGGTGCGCAGGGATGTATCGGAGACTCTGGGGAGTGTCCAGCACTACTGGCTGCTGAAGCTGCGAGAGGGGTGCTCCTGGCTGCTAGTGGCTAGAGCTCAGGATGGCTCCCAACCATCCCCCAATGCCTAGGACGCTCCCCCAGTGAATTACCCACCCCAAATGTCAGTAGCTCAAGGGAGACACCCAAGAAAAAGGGGTGTCCTCCTGCCCTTTGACCCCTCCAGCGGTGGGAAGCTCACCTCTTCAAACAGCTCCCCACACCCTTATTAGAACACCCTCCCTTCCAGAAAGCACAGCCCAGCGCGTGGCTCCCCCAGCATGAACTCCCCGCTCTCCCCGGCAGAGAGGACACCCTGGAAGTCAGAATGTGAGAGAGGACCAGCCCCTCCAAAAGCTCCCCCAGCACGAGGCTGAGGCTGAGTCACGTGCGTTCTCTTAGCGTCTGAACGATGGGTCAGCAGTGTGTTCTGGAAAAGGGCCAGACAGTGACTGTGTGAGGCTCTGCAGGCCATCGGCTTTCTGCTGACACCATGCGACTGCTGATGTCGTCAAAAGTCCCCGACAATCGGAACTGCAGGCACAGGGCGCTGCTCATTCTATAAAACTTACGGACACTGAGCTCGGAATCTCACTCATTCCGGTGTCAGAGCACATTTTCTTTCTTCTTTTGGTTCTTTTTAAAAGCATGTGAGCATTTAAAACGGTGGAAAACACTCTTGGCCAGACAGAAGCATGCATCGGGACCGTGGCTTTCAGACCCTGACGGCGTGAGTGTGTTCGGTTTTATAGAACAGGAAGCGATCCACCTTTTACAAATGAGCAAAGAGGCTCTCACTTCTCGGTGAATCCCCAAGCCCTCCCATCGGGGAGCAGGGGGAGGCAAGATTCTAACCGTAGAGTCTTCCCAAGGACAACCAATAATCACTCTTCTTTCAAGGAACATTGACCGAGTTGTCCATTTGCCACCGGAAACAGAACAAGCCACCACCCTGCCCTTAAGAAGTTCAAAGCCTAACATGGGAACAAAATAAAGACCTGAGTGACTGCAATAGCCAGTGTAGACTGGGAAGTAAAGATATGCAGAGGGTATGGGGCCTGGGGGCCTCCCACGCAGGGCACAGGAGTAGCTGGCAGTGGGGGAGTAGCTGGCAGTGGGGGAGTAGCTGGCAGTGGGGGAGTAGCCCACATGGGGATGGTGGGAAGCCATCCAGGCAGCCGCTGCCTGAGCTGGAACGAGGCAGCGAGAGACAGGGAGAGACAGCGTCCCGCCTGGGGAATGACAATGAGCACAGTGTCCCTGGAGACCAAGGAGCCAGGCAGAAAGTCAGAAGTTGAGGCTGGAGAGTTAGATGGGGTGAGGTCCTAGATGTGGGGGCCTGGGGTTGTCCTGTTGGCTTGGGGGAGCCAGGCACAGATTTTAAGCAGAAGCGGGTGGTGTTTGATAGAGAATTCTCTGAGGCTTCGTGGGAAATGTGGAGGGGAGGTTGAGGGGGGACAAGTGACAGCTGGGAGACAAGTCAGGGCACAGACTCGAGTCAGGCAGGGGCTGCGGCAATGAAAAGGGGGCCGACCGTATCCGCACGCAGACAGTTAAGGACAGGGCTCCCCACGGAAGGAGGCTGGGGGGGAGGGGGAAATGGGGCCTCCCCACGTTTCAGCTCAGTGACCCTGGACTTGGGCGGCACAGACTAAGAAAGATAATCCAAAGGAGGACAATCAGGAACAAAGCGCACACACAGCAGCAAGACCGGACCGAGACCTGCCGTGGAATCAGCGCCACAGCTGGAGCGCACGCAGGCTCCTCCCTAAGGATGAGGACAAGTTTGCCGGGAGAAGGGAGAAGCGGGAAGGGCGGTCATTGCGCGAGGAGTGCAGCGCGGACGAAGGCCCTGCTGATTCACGTTGGGTCGTAGCTACACCAGGCAACTGCTAGGCCACAGCTTCCAGTCTCTCTGCTGCTGCTGTAGGGCTCCAGGGAAGGACAATTCCCATTTAACCCTACAAGACTGGCTCTCAATAATGAATAATTCCATCTGGATGTAGTCATTCCTCCTGACTTCCTGTATCAAGAAGACCTAACGGGACACCCCAGTGTCTTCATAAAGATGCTACTCAGATACGAAAGACAGAGCATGACTGGTACCCCGGCACTGCTCCCGACAGCAGGGGTGGGGAACATCGGCCCGCGGGCCATATAAGGCCCAAGGAGTTGTTTGTTCTGGCCCTGCCAAGGCCTTAGGGGGGAGTTCATTACATTTTGACCACCGATAGCAGGCTAATTTCTAAGCTGATAATTCGGTACGGCCCACGAATGAGGTTATAAATAGCCAAGTGGCCCTTGGCAGGAAGAAGGCTCCCACCCTGCTCTGCAGGGACTCCGGAGCCAAAGGCAGGCTCTGAAGGGCCAGCGTGGGGGGTCT